ACAGTATGAGTGCAGTTTTAACTGTACACTGCAATTGTCATTATGTTAATGTAAATCATAATTTTGAGTATATCAAACCTGTTTAACTTTTTATAAATTTGCCAGTCAATAAAACAGCTTTTTTAAGGAAACACTGACGTTTTCCTTAACAGCCTGTTAATAAAGGCTTTATTTGTTGTAATCTTTCCAAAAAATTTATTTTTAAATGGGACATTAGCATAATATGAGAAACAATAACAATATATGGTATTTAGTACATAATTTATTTGCCTTTCTTATGCTTACATGGAAACAGCTCAAGAAAGTTGAAGTATCTCATAGGATATAAGATACTCTTAAAAGTACTACGGAACACAACCACATATTAAAGGGATTCCTTTTCGTGCCTCCCCTGGAATTGAAATAGATTTCTAGGAATTTATTTAGATAACCAGCATGAATTATAGCGGCTGGCTGGGCACTAAGCTTAATGAATTATTTTTCTACAGAGTTCTTACTTTAGGGCCTTTCCATTGGGGGTATTGGTGAATCTCCTGAAATTGTATGTAAACTTTTGCTTGCATGTACAATTTTCTGATGAGCAGGTTTGTATCTTCATCAAATTCATAACAGTGAATCCATAGACCCAAGGAATCACTGCTGCGTGACTTGGAAAATATTTCTTGTGTCTCAACCACCTTTTCAACTGTTAAAACTTTTGTTAACTTTGTTTTTGAATTTCAGGTCATTAAATTGTGTAACTCTCACTTGCATTGTAGTGGCTCCAGGTCCTAATTAGAAGAATGGTGTAATGTTGGTAAAAAACACCCCATCCCTCAGCTAGGAGTCAAACTGAAATACTCGTTCCAGCTTTTGATACCCTCAGGTAAAAACTGAAAACAAGAAAATACTGCTTCAGCTTCCTTATTTGGGAGTTTACAGCAGAGGATTATGTCGTCATTCATCCAGTTCTGTTGTATGAGAGCTTTATTGCAATATATTTCAAATACACAAATCTTTGTGCCAGATTCCAGTATGGATACCAAGCTGAGTAAGAAAGGTATGTTTACAGGTAGGTGGTAGACATCTGGATTTTCCTTTCAATCCAATGTGGTAAGTACAGTGGTGATAGCTGGGGCACAGAGGAAGGTGGGGCATGGCAGAGAAAGTACTGATGAATCAGGAAAAACCTCCTGGAGGAGGAAATCATGCCTCAACACTAGAGAGCAGGAATAAGCCACAAGGGAGAGCAGTTACAGGTCAACAAGATAAATGATCAAAAGCAAGGAGGCAGGAATCTGTAGTTTACATAGGAGAGTTGTGACTAGTCCATAAATGCTGAGGTATGCAGCTGAGAAAACGGTAAGAGTAAGTCACAGGAAGCTACGAAGGAGCTTCATCTTAACCATATAGGTCTCTAAATTTTGTATCCCTGATCATAAAGGCAAAAATAACACCTGTAACCAATATTCATAGATATTTACAAGGATATAAAACACAACTGTCAATATTCTCTTTGAGAAAATGTCTGTTATAATTCTGCATTGGGTTTTTGTTAGGTTGCGTGAGCTCTTTATATATTTGGGGTGTTAGCCCCTTGTCTGATACATGGTTTGCAAAATTTTCTCCCATTCTGCAGGTTGTCTTTTCATTTCGTTTTGCTGTGCAGAATCTTGAATTTGGTGTAGTCTCATTTGTTGATTTTTACTTCTGTTGGTGCTTTGGCTTCATGTTAAAAATAAGCCCTAGCCAGTTTTGTTCAGCGGTTAGAGCATCAGCCCACGGACTGAAGGTTCCCTGGTTCAATTCCGGCCAAGGGCACGTACCTCAGTTGCAGATTTGATCCCTAGCCCCGGTCGGGGCGCATATGGGGGGCAACCAATCAATGTGTCTCTCTCACATCGATGTTTCTCTTCCCCCTCCCCCCTTCATGCTCTCTAAAAAGCAATGGAAAAAATATCCTCAGGTGAGGATTAAAAAAACATATTGAAGAGCTGCTTTTCTACGTTTTCTAGTACTTTTTTGGTATCGAGTTCTTATGTTTAAGTCTTTGATCCATCTAGAGTTAATTTTGGGGATTTTCTATAGATAAAACCATAAACTCAGTAAATAAAGACAATATTACTTCTTCCTTTCCTACTTGGATGCATTTTATTTTTGTTTTGCCCAATTGCTCTAGCTAGGACCTCTAGTGCTATATTAATAAGTGGTGAAAGTGCATTTTTGTTTTGTTTCTGATCTTAGGAAAAACTCCCCCCCACCCCCCCATTGAGTATGTTGGCTGTGGATTATAAGGATTATACACATTATAAGGATTACACACCATTACCAAGTGGAATTCATCCCTGAGATGCAAGGATGGTTCCACATATGCAACTCAATAAATGTAATAATGCATCACTTTACTCAACTGAAAGATAATTTCTTAATGTTTACTGCTATAAACTTTCAGAACTGCTTTCGTCTCATCCCTCAAGATTTAATGTATTTTTGGTTTTGTTTCAAGATTTTTTATTTCCTTTTTGATTTCTTTGGTTGTGTAGAAGTGTATTCAATTTCCAAGTATATGTAGATCTCACTTTTCTTTCTTGATTTCTAGGTCCATACCACTGTGGTCAGAAGAGATAGTTGGTAAGATTTCAGTCTTAAATTTGCCAAGATTTCTTTAGTGTCCTTTCATGTCATCTGTCCTGGAGAACGTTCTATGTGCCCTTGAGAAGAGTGTGTATTCTGCTATTGGGTGGAATGACCTACATATGCCTGGTAAGTCCATTTGTTCTAAAGTATGTTTGAATTCCAACATTTTCTTGTAGATTTTCTTGTCTGAATGATTATTCCATTGGTTATAGTGGGGCCCTCCTACTATTATTGTATTTTTGTCTATTTCTCCCTTAAGATGTGTTTAGTCTTTGCTTAATGTTTTGCTGCTCAGTTATTGAGAGCATATGTATTTGTGATTGTTTTGTCCTCTTGATGTATTGACTTTTTTATCATTATGTAATTCTTTTTCTGATTTACCATTTTTGGCTTGAAGTCTACTTTGACTGATCTGAATATGGCTGTGCTTGCTTTCTTTTGGTTTCCACTTGCTCGAAATACATCTTTCATCCCTTCGCTTTGAGCCTATGTCTTTAAAGCTGAAATGTCTCCTGCAATATAGCTGGGTCTTGTTTTCAGTCCACTTACATTTAGTTATTGTTGGTATTGTAAGGACTTACTATTACCATTTCATATTTTGCTTTCTAGTTATTTTGCTTCCATTGTTTCTTTTTCCTTGTTTCGGGTCTACTTTTGTAAGTTGGTTTTCCACATGTGTCTTTTTGCCTTGTGTTTACCATAAAGTTTACATAAAGCATCTCAGATAAAGTAGTCCGTTCTATAATGATAGTTTATCTTCCCTTACCTGTAAAGGTTCCAGCCTTTTCCTCTTTCCCTTTTGTTTCTGATGTCACAGATTATCTTTTTCTTCGAATTTGTTAACAAATTATAGTAGCTATAGTTTTAGTGCTACCATTTTGCTATAGTTGTTTACTATGCTATTCTAAAATAGAGTTTTCAAATTCTATCACCTGAATTTTGGGTATTTTCATCTTTTTCAGTTTGGAGACCACCTTCTTTTAACATTTCTTGTAAGGCAGGTAGTGAACTCCCTCTTTCTGTTTTGGAAAATCTTTATTTCTCCTGCATATCTGAAGGATAACTTTGCTCAAGCGTATTGGGTAGCAATTTTTATCTTTTGATATTTTGCATATGTCATTCTACTCTCCTGGTCTGTAGAGTTTCTGCTTAGAAATTTGCAGATAGTCCAGCCAGGCGTGGCTCAGCGGTTGAGCGTCCACCTAGGATCCAGGCGATGGGGGTTCGATTCCCGGTCAGGGCATATGCCCAGTTGCGGGCTTGATCAATGACTCTGTCATCATTGATGTTTCTATCTCTGCCTCTCCCTCTCCTTTCCTCTCTCTGAAATCAATAAAGATATATTAAAAAAAAAAAAATCTGCAGATAGCCTAATGGGAGTTCCTTACTGTTTCCCCTCACGCCACCCCCGGCTGCATTTAAACTCTTTATCATTATCATGCTTCTTGGAGATGGTCTTATACACTGAGATAATAAAGCGTTCCATTAGCTTCTTGCACTTACGTCGTTTCTTCCCCAGGTTTGGGAAATTCTCAGCTATTATTTAAGTGCTCTGCTGCCTTCTCTCTCCTTCTGGTATACCTCTTATGTTGGCTTTTCTAATGGAGTCTGATTCTTGTAGGGTTTCTTCTGAGTTTTCTGGTAGCTTGTTGAATTTCATCATAATAGCTATTTTGAATTCTTCATGCTTGGACCACAGTCTTCTGTCTTTCGTTTTGTTTGCTGTAGTTTTCTTTTTGTGTGTGATATATTACCATGATTTTTCCAAAGTGTGCCTCTGCTGCCACCTTTCTGTAGGGAACAGCTTGCTTCTTTAAGGCTGCATTTGTTTACTTTGATTCTGACAGTTCAGCAGATTGGCAATTAGTTCATGTCCCAGAAGGTGGCGCTATAGCGTAAGTTTTTGTCTCTCTTACTGGCGCTGACTTGCTGTGCAAGTTGAAAACCTGTGCATTAAAGAGGTGGCCCAGTGAGAGGTGTGTGCCTAGCGCTTGGGGTGTGCCCACAGCCCAGGAGGGGTCCTCCAGTGAGGGAGTCCTCGACCAAGGGCAGGCCTCTGGCTGGAGTCCTGAGCAGGCAGCAGGAAATGTATTCCTTCAGTTCTGTCTTCTCTTCCCTTTCCTTCCTCCCGTCAGAGAGGTCTCAGAAATCCGGGTGCTGCTGAAGAGCAGTAGGACCCTCAGCTGCAGTCCCGGTGGCTGGGCAGACACACGGCCCTTGCACTTCCCAAGTCCTATGCTAGGGAGTTTGCCACCATCCCTGTCAGGGCAGTTTCCTTGGGTGCCCTGCTGTGCAGTGTAGTCATCTGTGTATCAGACCAAGATGATGGAGGCTTAAGTAAGGAACATGAGAGAATGGACAGAAGAGAATGGACGTATAAAATATTTGGAATAGAAAACAGCTTTAATACCGATAGATTGGCCACTTAAATACCATTATAAACTTTCTTAAGAAATTTCACATGATGACCAAATTTTGCATAGACCAAGCAGAGCAGTGCTAAGGTTCAGACTATAATGAATTAACAAGTGAAAAAATACTGTATTTTTTTAGTATTGTTTGATTTGTATATTAGGGGGAAAATAGGTTCAAATTGAACATTCTATTTTGAAGCAAATGCTGGGAGACACCCCTTTCCTCAAAAAAATTTCCAAATAATTCTGTAAAAGAAACAAGGTAAATAACTAGGACAAGAAAAAAGTTTAGAAGTCAGTTGAAGTTTTCTTTATTTAAAGACCCAAGGGACAGGAAGCTCCTTTGTTACAGTACATAACCTATGGCTCTTTTGTAGAGTAAAATAGACATCGGGAGTCAGTGTTATACCAGCATCAAACTCTTACTGCAGCAGGTGAGCAGTGAAGCGGGATTCCGTCCTGGCACCGAGATTGAAATACATTTCTACGTGCAATCAGTTCTTTGGTAGACTTAGTCATTCAGTGGAATTACAGAACTTGCAAAGGACAGTAGTAGTAAAATATTTCTTGTAAAATTTGAGCATAATGCTTCTACCATAAGCAATTTATAAAGACTTCAGAAAACAAATCCTAGTAAACTTTAAAATATTGCCTCAAAACTTGCCAATTAACTTATGTGTTCAAATGTACCAAAAAAAAAATCTAAATATGTTAGGTAATGTTTTTAAAATGGTTCATGATATTTCCAGTAATTGGTCAAATGGAATCTAATCTGAAGGATGTGGAATTCTTTGAAATCCTGGACAGCTACTCCTTTCTCCTCTCCATTCCCCTCCTCCAAGCACATCTATAAGGCATTATTTTGGACAGATACCTAACAGTACATCTTAAATAAGTACATAAATAATAACAACTTTCAACTACTACACCATAATATCAAGGCTTTGCCTTATCATGTATGAAGAATGTGGGTATTGAAAGGTGATCGAAGTAGATCACTTACCACAAAGAAAAACCCAGGATGGGAAAAGGAGTACAGATTTGATTAGTCACGAGATTAAAGTGTGTATAATGCTAAGGAATTTCAGTGTGGGGCTGAAAATTGATGCTCCTCCCTCTCTGTTCAATGAGCTCTTCCATCAAGAGGTATATTTTTGAAATGGTTTGTATTTTGATTTTACCAGACACCAAAATTTCTAAGACAGCATTTTCCTCTTAAAATCAGAAACTTATGCCCACTGTGGATCCAGAATTGAAGCATTTTAATATTCTTTGGGTGACTTAAGATTAGTGTTGTAATTATATGTGGAATGCACTGCTACAGTTCTAAACAGATTTAAAATAAATAAAGCGATTGCATTTCTCTCATAGATGAGTTCTAAATTCAGAAGACTCTACTCAGAGCTGCCATTGTGATCAAGAGTTTGTGGTGATGATGGCCCCAGCTAACAGTCCTTTCATACGACAGTCTGGACAGGAGTGACACACTGTGCAGGAGAACTGGCTCTCTCTGAGGATGAGGTTGATCGGTTGGAAATCTCTCTCTGTAGTTCCTCTACCTTTTTCTGAAGCTCTGCTCGTTTAGCAAGAAGTTCTTTGTATCTGTTGTGAATGGGCTCCTACAAGAGCAAAACACCAGAATTATTCCAAACTAGGCAATTTTAAAACAAACCCAGTCAAATTCTGGTACGTAGTTCTTTCCCTAAATGTTGCAGTGTGTGTGCTGTGTTTTCAGCTATGGAGTCCTAGCCCACCTTTCCAGCACCACTGTTCTTTCTCTGCTTTCCCAGTGCTCCCAAGCATTTCCACTAAATATTCTGAAACTGGTACTTTTCCAAATACAAGTAATTAGCAAGACAGTCTAAAAGCCAGTGCCTTTAAACAGTTCTAAGTAGTAAGGATTCCATATTTCAAAATGGATCTGAATTTTGTTAGGTGTTTAACTTTCTTAAAGCTGTTTCTCTAACCTATTAAAGCAAGACCTCTAGAAGTTATCCTTCATTTTACAGAGAAGGGAAAAAGACAAAACAGAAGTGATTTGTACAGAGAGTCAGGAAGGGTAAGAACCAAGGATACTGATTACCCCTGTGTAGTGCTTTTTCTACTATCCATCTGTATTAACAGGAAAGTTTTAAATATGCACAGATAATTTTTCTAGTTGCTTTAAAGGAGACAAAATTTATAGAGTTGCACAGATGAGAACTCCCACTGTATATTGTGCGTACCTGTGGTTTCATCCGTGGATTCCACCTTACGTAATACCCCACCCAGAGCTCTAGGTGGCGCATGCTGGCTACTGGATAAAGGACATGATTGGAGTAGCTCCCATAGAGAGGGTTAGTGAAGTCCTCCAGCTGGCTGTTTATGTAAGACCATAGTGACACAGTCCTTTTAGGAAGATTCTGTAAGAAGGGGAAAAAAGATTCTCTATCACATAAGCTATTTGTAGTTTAGATGAAAGTTGTAAAGAAGTATATTGTGATCATTAGAATCTTCTTAGAGGGAGATAACACACTTCAGAGAGCCCTATTTACATTCAAATCAGAGGGTATTGGAAAACTAAAATTCCTCAAAAAGTTAAAGAGTCACCGTGCCCGTAATTCCACTCTTGGGTTTATACCCAAGAGAACTGAAAATGCACACAAAATCTTGTACACAGATGTCCAAAGTAGCATTACTTACAATAGCCAAAAGTTGTCAACTGATAAATGGATAAAATAGTTTATCTACAATGGGATATTCAGCCATAAAAAGGAATTACATGCTCCAAGTCTAAACCTTAGGCTAAATGAAAACCCAGACACTGAGGTCACATCCTGAATGACTCCATTTTTGTGAAATGGCCCAAAGAGGCAAATCCAGAGACACAGATTTTGCTAGGGGCTGGGAGAACAGAGAGTAACTACTTACAGGGACACAGTTTATGTACACCGTTTCTTTTCAATGTTCTGAACACAGTGGTGATGGCTGTACAACTCTAGATATATTAAAAGCCATTAAACAATACACTTTAAAAGAATGAATTTTGTGGAATGCAAAAAATTATACCCTAGTAAAAATGTTTCTTTTGTAATTCCTATTCAAGGCTCTCAAAAAATGAAAGTATTTTTGGAACTTAGCTGTTCTTAATTATCTAACCACCAGTTCTTGAATGCCTACTATGCATGAAAATATTTACTGCGTGCTAACAGATACTGAAGATGTAATGGGGAGTTAAAAATATAGTCCAGGAAGCACTTACTACATGGCAGTGAACTGCAATGTTCTGGGTATGGTTTACTTAATCCTCACAACAGTAAGTACTCTTATCCCTATTTTACAGAAGCAGAAATTAACTTTCCCAAGGTCACACAGTAAGTGACAGATCCAAGGTCTGACCCCAGGCAGCCTGGCTCCAAAGAAAGCACTCTGCCACTATATAGGAAAGCATAGCAAATCTATTTTATAACCACATTTTTTTAAAGGAAAATTGATGCAGAAGGATACCATGATCAATATGATTAAGACACTCATACATAGGACAGATACATTTTGAGAAAAACAGAAGTAATCCTTAAACAGCTTCTTGTAAATAATACCACCCACCAGTAATATCTCTTGGGAAATGGGGTAAAAAAACTTTAAAACATTCAGACACTGAAAAGATAATACTGTAACTTTCTACATAATATTTTACAATTTAAAAAATAAAATCTCATGAACAATATATTTTCAGATCTGAGCTGTCCATTTATTCAAATGTATACACATTTTACCAGTTACATTTTTCTGCACCTGCTCTGAAGGGTTTCCATCCTGCAAAGGTAACAGGTGCACTGGTGCTCCTTAGACACACACTTCAGTTCTCTTTAGTAGTCACTACTCCCACCCACGAACTCACCTGGCAGCTAGCTGGCATCTTTAGCCTTTCGACAGAGGTACTTTAAAAGATTAGGCTCAGATGTGTGGGAAGAAGTAATCATATTAAAGCATGTAAAATAAAGTATGGCAAAGAAGCCATACAAAACTGTCCAGTTGGAATCCATCACAAAATGCACTGTAGCGGGGAAAGTACATGTTGGGGGTAGACCGGGACAGGGGCTCATATTTTACCTCTTTTCCTCTCTGCTGTTCACTGTTACAAAGGAATGTTCCGAATAAACAGCTATATAGGTGGTCCAAAATGGTAATGAGAAAATACTCATTGAATTCAAATGCTGTAGGAAACTGCAAATCAAACACCACAAACAAAACTATTAAGACATTTTTTCAAGCATATTCATCCTGTATATGGATAGATCCTTTGTAATACTTCTTAAAATTAGGCTAAACAATAACTCAAAAATCACTTTCCCACTTTTCTAAGATAATTTGTCCCAAAATCTCCTTTTCTTAATGCAGCAAAAATCTGAATGGTCTGACCTTGATGTTTCTATATCCCCTACATCTGCTAATCCTGAACTTGCAGGTTGAGGAATTTTGACCTGGGCATTTCAGGCAACTCGAATCCTTCTCAGCCAAAAACAACCATAAACATAGTAAGATTTTTCTTTAAATTTTCAAAAACATTGTTTTTATAAATTACACAAAAAACAGCATCAGTGTCTCCAAAAAATGTCAGCAATGCACAAAAATAAATATCCCAGGTAGATGTGCAGATCATTTAAAAGCCAACCTGTTTATCTTTTCAAGGAACATCCAGTCAACGGGAGTAAGGGAGTGCCAGGAAATCCAGTTCCTTGGCACCCTCTCTCTCAAAAGAAAATTCACTTTCTCCTTAACCTAAGGACAGGGGCTTACTGGATGTCTTACTATTACACAAACAACATAATTTGTGGGGAATTTATCAAGGACAAATTACAGATCATAGGGAGGTAAAGAATTTAGTTTAATCCACCCTGTCAATGTAGTATATCAAATTATTCTCAAGTTTCTATGTAAGATTGTACCAATTATATGACTGTGAAAAGGAATTCCATGAATAGGTTGCAGAGTTTGGAAAATATTCGTTCCCAGTTTCCCTTAGAATGATCCCTACCTAAAAGTGAAGGAAAACAGCATGACCTGTAAGCAAAAGCAACAGGGTTAACTTTACCTTAAAGTTTCCTAAATTTTAGGAAGCCATAAGCAGGGTAATGTGGCAAATTTCTGAAACAATGAAGGGTGACTCCATGTTGTGGCTACGAAGCTGAATGAATGAAGCAGGTGATCAAGCACATGCCAACCAAAAGCTAAGTATTTGTAAGAAACTTGGTCAAATCCCATTTATTTACAAAATCAAGCCCATCTCCTGACTGCTACGTACTCCGAACAGCCTTACTTATGAGCCAGCTCTGAGTGCTCTCTGCCTCATGAAGCAGCAATCCAGGAGAGCGGAGCCTGCGGCTGGTTTTCATCATCTTGGCAAGACTATTAGCTCCGTTATGAGAAGACAGCTTAATCAGTGGGCATTTCCTCACAACAAAACTAAAATAGCAGAGCATTAACTGCTGGTGTTGCTTTGAAAATCTTAGGCAGAGGAGGGATATTTTGTTCTTACATGTTTAAGATCTCAAGGGCCCTTCATCCACTGCTTCCTGATCCCAGGAGTGAAGGGGTGAGGATGAAGGTAGGAGCAGAGGTGGAATCTGGCTCACTGCAACATAATTCCCATTCTGACAAGTGTGCTATTTAAGTCTGCACAAACATTCAATTATTTGTAAAACTGAAGACTGCCAATAAACATTGTAACATTTTATGTTCAGGAAGAAAATATACATGAAGACACAGGAAGACATAACTACACATCTAAAAGACTCCACTATATCTTAGGTTCTACCTATGAGACAAGATTAAACTGATTTTCTATTTTTTAGTAACTTAAGCTTGAACTGAAGTAACACTGCTTTTAGATATACAGCATATAGGAAGTTAACACAATTACTAAGAAAGAAACGTACCAGTCATATAGTTGGCCATGCAAACAACTGGTAACCACGATTCATTTTTTTTGTAATAAGCATACCAAGCAAATACATTCACGTATGTTGCCCCTTGGGAAGCAGTCCGCACAAGCATCAGTGATGCCACAGCTTCACACAATTTCCCTAGTCCTTTGATACGGCATATTTGATTTTTACCGAGAGTCAAATGTTACTTAAAAACTGAATATGGTAATGGTCAAAAGTGGGTCCTACCTGTTTTTAGTGAAATACGCAAAAAAGGATTGGTAAGGATTTGTATCGCAAAGGCAATTCCAAAGAAGAATTCAAACCTACTCCAAGAAGTGGTAACCATTATTAAGTATGCAGCATCTCCCCTCCCACAACATACGAGGGCCTAATGGATAGAGCAAAACTGAACTGTATACACATTTGTAGTATATGTGTGAGAAAATACCGGCCTCCTCCTACTGTAGCCCCATCTACTACAACACAATTTAACCCAACAGGTTTCAAAACAATCCACCCAAATTTAAATTCTTACAGGGGAAAAATAAACTATTCAATATATGGTATAATTGATGTATTTCTCCTAATGACCCCCACTTTTAATGAAATAAATAGTATTTTCTTCAAGCTAAAATGTGGTCCTAAAGCACAGCAGAGCCAGCAATTGCCCTACCATATATTCATGTGGCAATCTAACTAGAAACAAACCTGGCTCCCAGCTGTCTGCGGTCTAATAAACCCTTGATGATAACTGACATAGACATACCAATGAGCTGTACCCAACTTTTGGATTTTGAGATGACTTTTCTTGAGTTATATATTTTTAAGACAGCAAACCCTTGCCCCATTTGTGGGGTGATCCCCCTCATAATTGACCAGGTGTTTTTCAGTCTCCTTTGGTATCTTTCAGAAAAACCTAAATCCATTTATACTAAATTTCACGTCGGTTTGTTTGAAACTTGGTAGAAGGTCTAAAAAACACAACTCTCCATACCTTAAGAGAAAAAAGAAAACTGAATCTACCTATTACATACCAACCTTGCCATAATTTCCCACCTAACCCATTTTCCCATTAAACTTACTTGCCTATTTCTCCATTTCTTTACCTTCTTTAGCAATATATACATGAGCTGCTAGGTACTGCCATTACTTAATACTACTTGTCTAAATCAAAGGAGGAAACCTCTTGGGTTGTTACAGTGCCATTCACTGAAATGCTAGTGGCACCAAATCGGCAAGTGCTTAATACTCCTCCCAAGTAATATTCTTTAGCTTAATTCACAATGTGATAGGTAATAGTTCTATTACCTAGAAACCTTACAAGAATTTTCATTTGACATGAAATGTAGGATATCAGTGACCAGATCTCCCAATTCTGACTGGATGGTTTAAAAAAGGGATGTAAGAATATATGTGTATATACACAAGTTACCTGTCTTGTCATTTGCCAGACACAGTCAATAAACTGAAGAAAAACAGGCGATCTGTCTGCATCTGCGTGATTCTTATCTCCATGGCCAAGTCTCTGAAGCAAAGACAGTGAAATAGTTTATGAACTTTGTGGGACTTTTCAATATTTTTAAGAATTCAGAAAACCTTTTTAAAAGAGCACAGCAAAGAAAATAGCAATCACCCATCACCCTGCCTATGAAATGTCTATTAACATTTTGATGTACAGTAGACTTGTGCACCTGAAACCTGTATAATTTTGTTAACCAATAAATTCAATAAAAAGGAAAAAAACCATTTTGATGTACAAACTGTCAGATATTTAACATGAGGTGCTTGTAACAGGAATTACAACTGTGTTTAATAGATGCAACCAAGGCCCTAAAGGCTGACAATGGGAGACGCGCAGTCAGACCAGAGCCCGGAAGTTTGTCCTCGGGATCTGATCTTCCCCCGAGTATTACGTTACTTGTACAACGGCCTCAGAGAGCACCCTTCTCCTTAACACTCGGCCAGTGCATGAAGGGGACCTGTTGTATCATAGCTCCAGCCTGTCTTTATCAAAAAGAATCACGTTAGCACAAATTTTCATAAACCTTTTTAAAAAATACTTGACTTCTGCCCTCCAAGCACGTACTCACCCAGCTTCTCAGTTTTTCCCTCCTCTGAGGACCTTAGCCCCAGGTGGCCGAAACAGACATCTACCCCATACCCTAAAGGCATTCATTCAAAAAATATGGTCCATAGACTTCTGGGGGTGGGCGCAGTGCTGGGGGGCGGAACTGTGAGGTCAAAACTCATGTGATAATGCTAAAACGTTATTTGCCTTTTTCAATTAACTCACTGCCGTTTGCACTAGTGCAAAAGTGATGAAGGGTAAAACTCTGGGTACCTTAGGAGGGATGAAGCAAGGCAGGGAAGTGAAACCACTGTGGTTATATTCTGTCCTGCCACACTCGCAGTTAAATGGAAGGAGACAAAAGCCAATCTCTGAAGTTTCCCTGATAAAGCAGTAAAAATTAACTTTATTAATCTCTCCCCATGAATGCAATTTTTTTCACTATTCTTTGTAACAAATGGGAAATGCACATGATGTACTTCTGCAAACTTAAGCAGGATGGTAGGAAATGAGACTTTCATGGAACATCATTCTGATTTGAAAGAACTGATATGTGAACTGTGGTTACTTACACTTGAATATCTTGCAGACTTGTTGAAAATGTACAAAGTGACTGTGTCACTTCAAGGAAAACAATGGACAGTATGTGTTGCCAATGATAAAATTCAAGCTTCTGAGTAAAAATTAGATTTTTGGGCCCTGGCCAGCGTTGCTCCGTGGTTAGAGCATCAGCCCTCGCACCCGAGTGTCTTGGGTTCAATTTCCAGTCAAGGGCAGGTACCTGGGTTGCAGGTTCGATCCCTGGCCTCAGTCGGGGTGCATGCAGGAGGCAACCTATGGATGTCTCTCTCTCATCGATGTTCCTCCCTCCCTCCCACCCAGTCTCTCTAAAAATCAATTCAAAAAATATCCTCAGGTGAAGATTAACAAAAAAAAAAAATTAGATTTTTGGAAAACTATTACCTGCCACATACGCTTGTTCATACTTAAAGACTTTTCTGATAAAATCAGTGGTGGTATTAACAACTGCTTTTATGGAATTCTATAAAGAAATGCATTAATAATGGAAGAGGTATCTAGCTCAGTAAGCAAGCATTTTCCAAATAACACATGATGTTACAAAATCCCACGTGGATAAAAGATCTATTCAAAGTGCAAGACAGACCAATGGAATTTAACAGAACAAACGAAAACCTCACTGATTTTGTTTTGGAGTCCACATTACAATTAACCTCTAAGAAACTACCATTTAAGTTCTGGCATAACAACAAAGAAGTATACCAATAACTCTCTGAAAAAGCTATCAAAATACTTTTTATTTTTCAAACTACGTATCTGTCTCTGTGTGGTCAGATTTTTTCCTCATATACTTCAACCAGCAGAACATATAGCAGATTGAAGGAGGAATGAAATTTAGCTATCTTCTATTAAGCCAGACATTTAAAAAAATTGCCCCCCAAAACATAGAACAGTGCCACTCTTCTCACAAAACCTTTTTTTGTTTTGTTTTGGAAAATGTGTTTTTCTTTAAAATGTTATTTATGTTAGTATATAGTAGTACTATAGTATGAATGTTTGTATTCCCCCAAAATTCACATGTTGAACTAATGTGATGCTATTAGGAAGAGGAGTCTTTGGGTGGAACTCTAATGAATGGGGTTAGTGCTCATATCAAAAAAGACCCCACAGAGCTCTGCAGCCCCGTTCCTCCATGTGAGGACACAGTGAGAAGCTGACAGTCTACAGCCTGAAAGAGGGTCCTCACCAGAACCGGCCCATGCTGGCACCCTGACCTTGGACTGTCAACCTTCAAAACTGTGAGAAAGAAATTTCTGTTGTTTATAAGCCACCCAGACGATGGTATTGTTATAACAGCCCAGATGGACTAAAACAGATTTATTATTTCTTTAATAAGTATTTTTAAATTTTTAAATTTAATTTCTAATATGGTAAATATTGATATAAACCATGCAAAGTTCTCTGGGTTCATCAATAACTGTCAAGAATGGAAAGAGGTCCTGAAATCAACAAGTTTGAGAATCATTACCCACTATTAACCATGTATGAGCACCATTTTGACCAGATGTCCTTTATTTGTCAAATTGAGCTTTCACATAACTAGGGGGGAAATGGAGTAGGTAACCAGAGTTAGCAATTTAGGAATCATAGCAATTTCAAACAGAAATGTTTGTGATTTTTGTTACATTTAAATGAACATGTGCAGCTTTGACTGACTAGAACTTTAAATGGTGTTTTTTTTAAATGGTCTTCTCATGATAAATACATTTTATAGAAAACTGAAAAAAGTGAGCCATCTGAATAGATACCCCAGATGCCCAACTTAACAGTTCAAGTTCAAAAGAGCAGACTACCTTTAAATGTCTGATTCTCTCAAGTCATTTATAAACTTTGCTCATATGCCCTGGCAACTACTGGATACTAAAGGTTAACATTAGAGACAACATCGGAGAAAACATCTTTCAATATGTCTTTCAGCCAATGTAGGAAAATGCTGCCACAAACCACACTCTCAGCAGTCTAACTCCCTCCCTGCTCCAAGATTCTCTCAACCGGGCCCTCTCTCATCGCTACTCTTGCCACGCTCAACCCCACCTACACATCTGCTCACTCTGTTCCTCCTTCCCGGGATACTACTACTACTACTCACTCCCCAACACCTATGATTAGCACTAACATAGACAGGCAATAATAAGAACCACGTTTTCTGGTCCCAAATTTAGTGTTTAGCAGAAACATAGCTAAAAACTACTTGAATGCTTATTTAATTAAAAGCTACACAAATCCAGAGTATGATGTAACAAAAAAGCAAATGTGAAAGGGACATAATAGCCCCATTCCTCAACTTTAGGATCTGTGATTAGTTCTGGCTACTCACTTATAGAAAAGCCATGCCCAAAGTCCCAGAGCACAACTGGGATGGCGAGGTGCTTAGGATCAGAAAGGTAGAGGAACATGGATGGCTAGCAGGAAGAACTAAAGACCATAAATGACATGAACTGACAGCTACTTTCCAATATCTGAAGGACTATCTAACACTGATAAGTAGTTTTATTTGTTCTTGTCTCCAAATGGGAATGTAGGCAAAATGGGAAGCAAACTTCAGTTCACTGTAAGGAAGACGTTTCTACCAAGCAGACTTTCTGAAGGGAGACTGGACAGACTTGNTGTAAGGAAGACGTTTCTACCAAGCAGACTTTCTGAAGGGAGACTGGACAGCCTTGGGAAGAGACTTATTTCTGGTGATGTTAATGAAGAAACTAAACAATCATTTTGAAGACACCATAGAAGACATTAACAACTGTTGCTTGGACTCTGACTTCCTCCTAACTCTTAAATTTGATACCAGTGATAACATCAACATAAATTTTGAGACATATAGAGGGCACAAAAATGTGTCATTTCCATAAAACTGCAACACTTTTTATTTACTGACTTTTAGAAAGAGGGAAAAAGAGAGAGAAACATGTTGTTCCACTTATTTATGCATTCACTGGTTGCTTCTTGTATGTGCCCTGACTGGGGATCTAACGCTGTTCAGGATGGCGCTCTAACCAACTGAGCACTCAGCCAGGGCTGCAACACTTAACATATGCATGGTGATTATAGTGTCAGTACCGTAAGAAGGATATTCCCAACTCTGAATTAGTTTTTTTTCCTTTTAGTCCCAGTTTTTTTAGACCCTGACCCTGTGTGAGCAATGCCACTTTATAGGGCTACTTTAAATTGAGAATAACTCTTTAAGCCATTCTAATCTTTTCTTTAAGTCTACAGGAAAAGCTAGAAGTGCGATGTGGTTTCATAACCATTCATGCTAATCTGAGCCATCAACTGAAGGTGGACAGGAGATGCCCATGGGCATCATGGGCCGATACCTGATGTTTCCTGGCAGAGATCACAGAAGAGACTGGGTCAGACGAATGGCTAGCCCTGGCTCCAGCCTGCAAAGCTGAGGCAGGGCATCCTAATGCTTTTGAAAACAAAACAGTTCTCTGGGGAAGTTTAGCCCTCTGGAATAAACAATTTCAGAGGACTATCCAACAAATAAAGAGCACTGTTTTCACACTCCTGATGTGAGATGCATATAGTACATTGAGTCAAGGTTCTTTACTCACCAGCTGAAATCGATGTCCAAAGCTCAGCCATTCTTTCTCCACGAGGACCTCGAATCCTCGGATGGTACGATAGTACCCATCCAGCATGAGCATGGCGAGGGCAGTGAGCTGAGCGGTTCGGTCCCACCCATCACTGCAGTGCACCACCACAGACGTCTTTCCAGACTCCACTTTGTCAGCAACCCGAAGCGCCCCAGCAAGAATAAGCTGCAAAACGGGTTTTTTTTAATTAAAAAAAATACTAATTAATTAAATGCTTCCTTCTTCAAAATTTATTAATAGAGTTTTGCTAGGGATGACTATCTCAATAACATGGGAAAAACCATCGGTCCCTTCTTAAAACAAATTTTTTTAAATGGTAGCGGGTATATAAATTTTGTTTTTAAAACCAGAAAAATCTCATAAATTCAGACTCCTATTAACCTGCACAAAGAAATAGCCAAATGAAAGGTGCCTATGGGGTCTAAACAAATCAACAGCATGAAAAAGAAATAAGATCTAAGTTCTAAAAAGATGTTTGTAAGAATCTTCAGATATTTCAAACATCATCCATTTAAATAAAAACATCCCAACAGAAGTCTTCTTATCTGCTATTTATAACAATGCTTGCTTAACCAAATTAAAATATATATGAAACCAATAAAATTGATCTCTCTTAAAATATTCTATAGCTTCCACAGCATTTATTTTACTGTTTTTATATGTCACATAACATACAGAAAGCAGCACAGCATAAAACTGCAGAGTAAGCTACTTTTCTGTATCAGGATGAATGAAAATTCTCATCTGATCAACATATTACCATGTCAATTTAACTGACATCTAAAATAATTTTATTTTTTAAATATGTAGAGATTCTTTGCAAAATAATTTACCTCAATGAGGTTGATCTTGAGTTAAAACTAGACAAAATTACATGTAACCAAAACAGAAACACGAAAGTATAATATCCTTGAAAATGGACAATCTAATCCTAGTCGTCTCTCCAGTGACCATATCGTACTTTTAAAGAACAGCATGGCTCCACAAACACAGATCAGAATGAAAGAAGTCAGATTTACCAGGTAGGCTAGAGAATCTCACAATAACCTCCTGTTTTCACAGCTGTTGGCATATTCTGGACACGGGGTACTCTGAAGCAATCATTTCAATCCTGCCTATGCCTCAGAGTCATCTGGGAGCTTTTTTTCCCCCTAAAGTGCCTGGGCTCCAATCTCCACTAATCCTAACTCACTATTTTAAACAAATTCCACTCATAATTCAAACACATATCCAGATTACAAATCACTGACCCAAAGGATTAGAACAGCTGGAAAATTAGGACTGACCAGGGAGAGTTATCTAAAGCGGTCATTTTAATTCATGCATTCGCTTATAAAACAAACATTTATGGAGCCCCTTACTATGTGGCAGGCACTGCTCTAGGTGCTGGAGATGAAGCAGTGAACAAAACAGACGCATTGGCTTAATGTTTACCTTCTGGCTGGTGAGGCAACCAGATGCAAACAAATACGGAAATATATAAAGTGTCAGAGGGCGGTAAGTGAAAAAGCACCACGCAGGTCTAGGGGGTCTGGTAGAACAATTATTCTGTATGGAGTGGTTGGGAAAGGCTTCTCTGGGAAGGCGACACTTGAGCAAGGATCTGAAGAAAGTGAGTGGGTGAGCCCTGCAGGTGTGAGGACGGAGGCGGGGGGCCCGAAGGTATTCCAGGCACAACTGTGCCTCTTGTGCCTCTGAGGAAACCTGTTCCCGGTATAGCCAGCATTTTGGAGAGAATGTTGTACCTGACAGTGAAACAACCTGGAATTTACAAAAGTGAAAGAGACTATTTATGTTAGTTCCAAATCAAGTCTTAGGGACGTCTATTTACACATCATGTAAGAGACGGGCCCCACAAACATCTCTCACTGAGGAGTGTGTGCCCTTTGCTACATTCAAGTTTCTAGGCCTCTAGGAGAGAAACAGTAATAAAAATAGTCTATAATTCTCATTAGAGCAAATTGGCCTTCTCTTCAATTTGTCTCAATTTTGGAGAATTTGATTTGAGTATACGAGTCTGCTCCTTCTTAACATGAAAAATCTCATTTCCCTTCATTTCACATTATGGACAATATATGAGCCTATAGAAGTCTATATTTTGGTAAGCTATGTTACTGAAATTCAGACATCTGAAAATATGTATAACTCCATTAAAATAACATTTGGTGCTTCAAACACTATATAACACGTTAGGCAAATCAGCATTCACACAGCAGCCTGCAAATCACTGAGCGTTCACACTGTATTTTTCACTCAGCTACTTCCCCTCACTCCCCTGACGAGCATGACTTTTACTTCACACATAAGTAGACTACATGGGTATTTACCGAGAGCCTATTATTCGCAGATAGCGCTGCCCTAGCTCCTGAGGGGGGAAAAAGAAATATGATTACGATTTATCCAGCCCTGCTCTCCACTGAATTAACAATATACATTAGTTGACACACAAAAGTAATTAAATGAAGTGCAAGGTAGTACTGATTAAATGGAAAGAAAAAGTGAAGTGAAAACTTCAGAGAAAATGGAAATGGATGCAATCTGGGAAGACTTCATGGAATACATGAAATCTGAACGAGGACCTGCAGGATGGGTAGAATTTAGACAGGATGGGGAAAAAAGTTCAACAGAACCAAATGCACAATATAGGAAACTAATTCATTCAAGCACCAAAACTAAGAAGTAGTTCTAATTATCAAAGCAGGCGTCAAGTTTTCACTGTTTAGAATGGCACCTTCATCTTGGTTTCTATTGTAAGAGCCCATACAGACAACAGTGCAGAAGAGACCTTGTTTGATACCCTTACTGTAACAGTATAAGGAAATAACCCACCTTAATATGTTCGAGCCAGTGAGTAGATTCCAAGTTAGACAGCCAGTGAGTCTCCTCGATGTTGGGGTACACAATCTCCTTAAGCTTTCGTAAGGACTCTCTCATAACATGAATATTGTGGATATCTAGAAAAACTAGTTCTGCATTCTGATAGGCATCTTCACTTTCATAACCTCCACCCTTTGCCTAGGAAAAAAGCACACCACAGGAAATAAAAAATGAATGTACATCCATTATATGTTGACATCCATGAAAAAGTGCCATAAAATACCCAATAGCATAAAAGATGATAAGCAGCAAACCTCAGGGGAAAATATGGGTGGCACAGGGCAACCTACCACCACTACTCTCTATCCCTAGTTTTCTTTATAAAACAGGAAGAGACACTCTCAGCCTGACTTCCTTATATGGCTTTTATAAAAATTAAATGTGATGACTTATATGAAGGTACTTAAACATTTGAAAGCACTACATTTACATACTCATATTTCAAGTCCTACCCAAACAATTTCTTAGGAAAGACTGGAATCACCAGACTAGTTAAGTTACGTGTGTATTACATCCGTCCAGCTTACCACTGGCCCACGCTGCTTCATCACCTCATTTTAATCTTAATATTTACAAAATACTTTACAATCATAAGGACATCCATTTATTTTAACCATATAATTATTTTTAGGTAAAAAGACAATAAGTATAAAAGCACAAGACAGGAGAACCACACAAGAGCCTTAGTTTCTGTTGGTTCTGCCTCCTTGTTTTGGCTTTCTTCTTCCAGAACTACAGGGAAGCACAATGGATCCATCTAAGAAGTGCAGCCGAAACCAGGAAAGCCTCTGGCTGCTCTAACAGCCGATGAGCCTGAAGGGTCTACAGTGGATGTGCAGGGGCAGAGGCAGTCCCACCCACAGCCACTCTCCTGACTGCCAAGGGTCCCTCCTGCTAAGCACGTGTTCAAAACAGAGCACAACAGAGGCAACAGTGGCAAAGGAAGAGAAGGTCCGAATAAAAAGACAAAGGAAGAGACACTTCAAATTTAAAAATGGGGAGGGGAGGGGGGAGTACAGGTGTGGGTGTGGGTGTGGGTGCAGGGTGGGAGACACAGGACAGAGCCAGGAAATCTCAGAAAAGAAGTCCCCGCATTTTTTAGTGCTACATGAAAACAGAGGCAGCTCAGTGAAACCAGCTCTTCTAACTTCTGCATGCGTAACTTTATAACTGAACGATGAATCCTTCTAAAAGTTCAAGGAAACAAATTTCATCTAAAAATGAGTAAACAAAGAGGATGGTCAAATCCCATACAAGTTATACTAAAAAACAGAGAATGCGTAGTATTCTAACACCCTACTGACAATGCCCCAAACTGAAATCATCTCTTTTTAAGCAAGCTAGAAACATTAAAAATACCAGCTGTGCGGCGCACCGAAGGGTCTCGGGTTTGACTCCCGGTCAAGGGCACATACCTGGGTTGCAGGTTTGATTCCTGGCCCTGGTCGGGGTGCGTGTGGGAGGCAACCAATCGATGTGTCTCTCTCGCAACCATGTTCCCCCCCCCCCGCTATCCTCTCTCTCTAAATATCAATGGAAAAAATATTCCTGGGTGAGGGTTAACAACAATAACAAAAAAACACCAGGCATGAAAAACAAAATAAATAAATGAAATAAAAGTTGAAAACAAATTAGAAATAAGAAAAAAATCAGAAGTGAAGACTAAATTAGAAGGAACACAAAAGCAAATAAATACAAAATAAATAAAAGAAATAAATGGTGAAAAGGAAAATCTTTAAAACCAAAATGAAATTAGAAAGACATAGAAAGGATTCAAGAGAACATGACAAATGATGAAGAGAGGCAAAGGAAAGCGGCCACAGGAGAACGGGTCCTGAGGAGACAAGCCAAAACGAGACAATGGAGCTAGCAGGACCTGTGATTAAAAAAATATATATATATTTTTTTAAATTGGAAATTATGAATTAAAATAACATGAATGCTCACCTGGGAACACAAAGCCAGAACACATAACATGAAGACATATTCTGGCAAAACGACAATTAAAAAAAGAAAAGAAAAATAAATCCTCTGGACAACCAAGTAAAATCAGTGACTTATAATAAAAAAAAATTTAGGTTATCATCAGACTTTGAAATCTTATGCCAAAAGAAAATAAGCAACATATTTAAGATACTCGAGAAAAGCAGATGTAAACTGAAGGTTTTACATCCAGCAAAACTGACTTTCAAATGCAAGGTGGGGCAAAAGTAGGTTTACAGTAGTTCATATGGAAAATAATAAAATAATAATTATACAATAAACTTTTTTGCATACTCACAACTGTAAACCTACTTTTTCTCCATCCTGTATAATGAACCTAAAGTTGCTATCATCAAACAAATACTCAGAATATTGTTCCCATGAGCCCTGCTAAAATATTTACAAGAGAACTTCAAAAAGAGACTAAAAAGATATCTGTATAAGAATTGGTGTAAGCACAAAATTTACAGCTCCTTACAGATGTCAGAGGTGAAGGGAGAGGTATGTAAAGGCTATTACATGAGTATCTGCTCTGACAATGTAAATATAAAAAATGAATTTTAAAAATAGGGAGAATGGGGAGAGCAAATGCAAAAAAAGTAACTTTTCAATAAGTGTGCTGGTGATGGCCATATATTTAATAGTTATTCTGAGGCTGTGGAAGCATAAAGCAAAGAGGTAATTATGAACATACTCAAGTTATCATCCCTGGTGTCCTTAAGAACCAGGATTCCTGGTGTGGGAGGAAGGAGATATACACATAATTTGGATCAAGTTATGTTAAAAACGCTTTAGCAAGTAATTTAAATTGCAAGCACCAGTATGAACTCGTTAGGTCCTTTATCTTGAACATACTAATATTTCCTAGCTCTATACCCTGTAAAGACCTAGAAACAGGACCAATCCAGAGGCGGATTAGTCTCCTTAACACTCAGATTATGGTTTGAAATACCATTTCCTACTAACAGAAACCAGAACTTCTTAGAGAAACAGCTATTCCAAGTTTCGTGCAGGAAATGTACAACATTTCCTATGAGTTTATCCTGTCATACCAAATAACACAGGCTGCTACAGTTATGCCAAAAGAACTCAGAAGATAACTTGAAATGTTTCACTGGGAAGGGAAATTATAACTCCAAAAAAATATTATCTGCAATGGATTAAAAACACTGAACAGCCTGGGTGGCAAAGTTTTAATTCTTGACATGGGCCATGGTTGCAAAAGCAGTTGTCATATTCATATCAATTAAGCTATAATGTTTCTTACTATGCAGGCAAAAAAATATTCATTCCAACAAAGATATATATTTTTGCAAGATAAAAAAGGGGGACAAGTGGAGGAACTGGGTGAAAAAAATACAAACTTCTGATTATAAGATGAATACGTTTTGGAGATTTAATGCACAGCATGGTGACTATAGTTAATACTTTATTATGTATTTCAAAGTTGTTAAGACAGTAGACCTTAAAAGTTCTCATCACAAGGAAAAAAAGTTGTAACTATGTGAGGTGATAAATTTTAAACTAGAATTATTATGGTAATAATTTCATTATATATATATATATATATACACACATCAAATCATTACGTTGTATACCTTAAACTTATACAAAGTTAAATGTCAACTATATCTCCATATAGCAAGCAGGTTAGTGCACTGGATCAACCTTTCTGAAGAATGTTTGCATATGCAACAAAACTTTTTAAAATACGAGTATTTTATATTTTGATACAGTAATTGTATATCTAGAAAACTATTTTAAGGAAATAATCAAAGATGCCTACTTAAAATATCTATTTAAATATCAGCTATATTTAAAATACTGAATACTTAAATGCTCAATATCAGAATACTGATTAAATGAATAATGATACACCTATTACTTTCCAAGAATATTTCATGAAAAGAAGTAATTCTTATAACATAATGGTAAGAGAAAAAAACAATGAAACAAAATAACCAACACTTGAATGAGTAGAAAAAATAGTGGAGGAAAATATATCAAAATATTAGTGATTATGAGCGATCTTTATTTTCTTTACTTTTTCTATGCCTTCCTAGTTTTTATATTGTCTACTACATATTTTATAACCAGAAAATGTCTCAATAAATAATATATTTCAGTCTTTAAAAAAAGAGGGGATTTCCATAGTAAAAAAATGTGAAAATTTAAGATGAGTATAACATTTTGCTCTACCACCTTTTCTGCCTTACATTCCTCTCCCCTTCTCTCACCTGAGAAAACATCCTAAATTTCATTCCTGCTAATTCATGGTGTAAAGTTTAGGGAGGAGACAAGTAATTACTGGAAAAATATATACCAGTGCCTGGGATCTGGGCTTCATATGCACATCATCTCATTGTTCCTTTAAGAAGGAATATTTATAGTTTAATAGAAAATGACTGAAACTCACAATACCCTCAAAACATTAAACAAAATGAAAAAAATTAGTTGCAAGCTCCACAATTTAATTAAAAGGACGATCATCCCCACATTGTTAATACTAGCAAAAACCCCCAAAATAAACTAAATATCCAACAGTTGGTATTATTAGTTATTATACCCTTAAAGTAATGTTACAGATGAATGTTTATTGGCATAGAAAGATACAGTGTCAATTTTTTTTAAGTTGCAATGATCCCATTCTGTTTCCAATATATGAGTGTATACATATACGCATAGGTCTGGAAGTATAACCATGACTTAATGAAGCTTCTCTCCTAGTTATAGGATTAAGGGTGTTTTAAAATATTTTCCTGTTTTTGCTCATCTGCATTAGGTAATTATTCTGTGATACATATACATTGCTTATTGGGGATTAAAAAAAGAAGTACCTTCTCAAAGCTAAATTGTATCTTTTCCCTCACCTTTTCCTATGGTAGATTTTGTCAGCTGAACCACAATTTCTATTTCCTCAATGGAAATATTTACTCTGTAGCAGCAATCAGGATGATTGCTCCACCTAACTGCAAGTCTTCAGTCTAAATACATTGTTTGGTGGAAGGCTGTCAGAAGAGGGCACCGCTGCTCACTGAGAATGCTGCTTCAGGATTACGAGAACAGTGCTGCACAGACTGGACTCAGTCATAAACTCAGCTGCCGTTTGAAGAAGGGAGAAAGAAACTAGTAATTTCTGAACACCTACCTTTATGTAAGCACAGGGTTCTGCACTATTTTTTATTAGATGATTTTTGTCCCTCACAATCCTGTTAGCTATTATTCTTCTCATTTTACAAATAAGCGATTAAGATTTAAAAAGGTTAAATAATGAAGTCAAAGTCAAACCATCAAGCAGGAGAGCGAGGATTAGATCCTACATCTTCATCACTAGAGAGCCTGAACTCTTTCTATTACACTGTGGTTCCCGCCAAACTCAGCTGATTCATGAAACTGTAATCTTAATTACTGAAAAATAATCCCACCTTATTGGCAACAGCATTAACACTTGGCCGGGCATCAAATATAAAGATTTTATGAGACTGAGCATTGGAGTCCATAATGGCTTGAAGGTACTTTTCATCTTCTTTGCTTCGCTTCCCACTCACTCCTACCATGGGCTGGCTACACCGAGTGATTGTGGCTTGACTTTCAGGATGAATCCATGATAAGACCTAAATGGGGGGAACATGGCAACACAACCTTTATATACTTCTCTGTTTATAATTCTTCTCAAAAACACTCCTCTATAAAACTCTGCTTTCTAATTGGATCCAAAGCTTAGCTATGGAAAGGTATGTGAGGCTGCTATCAAATATCATAACCGTTCTTTCAAGCCAACTCTGGGATGTGAAAAACTTAGTCTTAATTTTTTATTTTATTTTTATTTTTAGTCTTTATATGTTTTTACTCATTTCAGAGAAAGGAAGGCAGAGGGAGAGAGAGATAGGAACATCAATGATGAGAGAATTATTGATCTGCTGCCCCCTGCGCGCCCCCTACTGGGGATCATGCACCCCGATGGGGAACTGAACCATGGTCTCCTGGGTTCATAGGTCAACGTTCAATTCTTTAATCAGATGCTGATTTAGAAAAGTCACTGATTATTGGGAAGTTTTGTTTCTAGAAAACCTACATTAAAAGGGGGCAAAGTAAGCCCCACTTTTAAAGTTTTATTACTATATCAGCAAAACTGCCCAACTATAAAGTCTTTAGAATCTAGGAATTCTGTACCTAAAACTATTTGAGCTGACCTTTCCAGAACACATTATTCATCAAGATTTTTGTAAAGTTTTCTTCTTTCTGGGATTTAAAGGAACCGAGTATTTATCACCATGACTAAAGAATGTATAGTAAGCTAAAGAAATAGTGAAAATATAAAGAACCAACTTTGTTTTCAAGTTGAGTCACACAATTCCATGCACTTCTCTAATACCCATGTCAGAGCCTCCGGATGCTTCTTTAATCAAAGTTTTTCCCCCAGTTTTAGTTTTATTAAATAACTCATTGTCTAATAACCCTATAAAGAGCTGCTGCTGTAGCTGTTTTTACCCAGCATCCATTCTCCCAGTCCTTAATCTCAGCAATATGTAGACAGTGTACAAATGCATTTACAAATCTATTCAAAGCTTCACACTCACTGGGATCCGGCCCCTCGACCTGAAGGCTGCCACTCTCTTTAATTCTTCATCAGGAATGTTTGCTGGCACAACCAAGAGGGCAGGGTACGTATCACAAAGGTCATAGCGTTCATTTATCTTTGTTATTCTCCAGCTTTCATTAGGAATTCCCTATATGTGAAAAAAATACAAGACAGATTACTACCTAACTAAAATATTATAAGACACCAGAATAAAAGCCATCCTATTCAAGTTCTCTCATCTCCACTACCCAGCTCTTAAGTTGCTGAAATAGTTATGGTCAGCCTGTGGTGACCACCCTGTTAGGATGAGAGATTCTAACATAGTGATATGCGTTCTTTTTGACATTCAGTTTTAGGTTAATAGATTTAAGTCATTAATGCTAAGCGTGTGGTGGGTGTGTGCTAAGCTTACCCAATGGAAAGGAAACAGACTGCAAATATCCCGTCTTAAAAAGAACAGTCTCATTCAGTCTCACTGAATAATTGATTTTGCTGCCATTCAGTTATACAAAGAAATCTGAGAGGGAAGGCACCAAGTGTCCACCGAAATGCTATATTCACATTTATCACTTACATACCTAAAGTGCAGTTTGCACTCCTACATTATAGTACTAATGGAATACTGCGAATCTGAAACGTAGTAGAAAAGTAATAGAAGGCAAAGCCAAAAAGACAGGAGGCAAGAGAAATACTAAAACATTTTTTTAAATACACATAGATTATTAAGCTCTCTTTGGGTCCTTCAGTATTTACTATGTATGTAACTAGGGTATGTCTTCACATACAGGATTGCCTAATAAGACCCTTAAAATTTTCCACCCTCCATTCTACAGAAAATAAAGCCATTATATTAAAATATTAAATGGTTGGAGTTAAAAATATATATTTTTAAAAAATTTTATGACCTCTGACAACTCTTATCACAGAAAAAGAAACTGAATTCTAGTATAAAAATACATTTATTGAGCACTTACTATGTGCAGGCACTATGCCAGCAGCAACTTCACACTCACACACTCACACTCACACACACACACACACAATGAAAAAAGCACAGGAAACGTGCATGGAATGCTATCATCTGCTTTAAAAAATAAGATACATACACATACACAAGCTCTGCAGGCATAAAATCTCTGAAAAGACCCATAAATAACCAGTAACAATAATTCCTAAAGGGAGAGGAACTGGGATGGCAGGGGGACAAGGTTGGCCTAAAAGGTAACTAACCTACCTTTCAATATACCCTTTGGTACCTTTCGAATTTTATACAGAGTACCAATATTACCACTTTCAGCTTTTTTTCAACTTAAAAAAAAAAAAAAAAAAGGAATACTCTGATGCTTTATGTCTAGTCTTAAGGTTTATGTTAAGACATTATTTTCATTTTCTTCCATAATATAAAGTATATATATCTCTATTTTAAAACTGAGTCTTCTAACTACAAATACAGTGTCTGCTCCACTACACTTTAGCTTGGTTTACTCAGAGACAAATAAAGTGTCTAACTCTGTAGGGAAAAAAGTCAACAAATTCATCTAGTAGGTCAAAAACCATAAGGCCTATCATTTAATGCAGAGTTCACTGCTCTATTCTGCCACATTTCCTTAGCTCATAATTCTCTTCCTGTAGTTGTTCATTTACTCTTTAACTTATTTTTTCTTTTCAACAATAATTTATTTCTTTTCTCTAGGCACAGTTATCTCATCTGCTTTCCAAAGTTCTATATTGAATGCTACTAGAACAGATAGCAATTTCTGCCTAGATTCCCAAAGAATATTCCTCATTTTTATAATTCTAAAGACATTTGTTAGATCTGGTTGCTTTCCCGGCTAATTTTGACATTGGATTTTTGGGTTAGAAAAAAATCTTACAATGTTACTTGTAGACTCTTAGTTTTGTATTGTTTCATATATGCCAACAGATGGTTTTATATTTGAATGAGGAATTTTAAAATTTTACTTGCCTCATGATTAAATGAGAAGCTTTATAATTAAAATGCAATGTTTGAAATCTACATATAAAAATCACAGCTTAATGATTTTCATATCTGAATTCTAGAATAATTTGGATATCAAATTTAATGATTACTGAGAAACAATCAATGTGTCTGCATTTAAATTCTCAAGAAAGCAGGATGAACATGTGGAAAGTTGGAAATAAAGACTATTTTAGGTAGTGCTGAAATGCCGCAGAGCAGGGCCTCTTTGGGAAGCAGTGTACTGAGGAAGAACAGGGAGGTGATGCTCGCACTGTGACACAGATCAGGTTCCGCTCTGTCTCTCACTGTGGCTGATTAACTCACGAATAAGCATTCAAATATTAAGCCAACCCTTCTTAGTCATGATATCAGATCTGATTTGTTAACATTTTATGTACAAGTATGTCCTCTATGAATATGTAATAAGAAGTTTTATGTGGAGCTACATTATAAACAGAATTACTTGAAATATTTTTGGAATTACAGGGTACCCAAAAGAGAAAAATTGAGTAAATAATGTGTAATGACATGTAAGAAGATTAAAATATAAATGTATTTACCATTTTTTATTTTAATTTTAAATATTATTAAACATTTCTTAAATAAACTGATTTACCTATAAACTCTTTGATAAGTCTGAAAAGCAGTTTAAAGAAACTGAAAGGCAGCCCAAATATCAGGATTAGCCTTCATTTAAAAAAAAAAACCCAGAAACTATATAAAGCTGTTTACTTCTAACCATAAAACTTTCATTGTAATAAAAAGAATATAGTATATTAAAATTAAAAGAAAAAAGTACATACCTGCCTTCTATATTCTAGAAGAGGGTCATATAGTTTCCACCCATTTTCAGGGAATACTTCTTTGTATTCAAAAGCAAAAAGAGGCTACAAAAAAGTAAATAGAGTTAATAGCTAAAATGACATTTAAGGAGGTAATAAATCAGAAATGTATCCTTATAAAATCCAGTTTTCATTTACTTATCTGCCAGGATAGTCTGTATTGGTGTCCTTTTTTAATACTGTTCTCTTAGCTTTGTTTTATAATTTTGAAAACTTTTTTTTTTTTCACATTTTTCAAACATAGAAAAGCACAGAAGGTCCACCACCAAGATTTATTAAATGTCACCATATTTCCTTCAGATGTCATAAGTAGCTGTTTTAGGTTTACTTCTAAATAATGAAAGACATTTCATAAAAATGGTGTCTTCTGATATAATTATTAGTTTGACATCACAGATATCAGAAGTTAAGCAGATCTGAAGTTTATGCTACATTTTCTAAAACATGCTGAATAAACTTTTTATTTTGGAGCATGTAATCTGCATACCAAAAAAAATTAATGTATGTAGACAGAATGGCAGGAACCTATTGATGAAAACCATGCAAACTAGAGTACTGATTCCAAATTTTACTCCCTACTAGCTATGCCGCTGAGTTAACTACTTACCTGCTCCTAGTTTCAATTTTAAAATAGGGATAAATAATAATATTTACCACCACAGGACTACTGTGGAAGTTAAATTATATAATATAAATGAGGAAGCCTAACATTGTTAAAGCACACTGTAGGAACTCAGTTAAGTATCTGACCTCCCAAAGTGGCCAGACTTAAGTGTCAGCTCCCAATTAAAAGGAGATTTCAAACCCTAATGAAGACTCTATACTACTTTTCATCATGGATACACCCTGGATAGGACACAGAAATGGACCCTGGAAATCAGCTAGTCCAGCTTCCTCATTTTATAACGAAAAGGTTTGCCAAGAGATTATGCTAAAACCTTAATTATACATCTGGTTAAATGGCAAAATAGGTCATAAATGTAGAGATTCTAGGTAGCCTAGACGAGTTTATTTACACTACATCAATAATTACAATAGTTTTTCCAAACATAAGAAACATCTTACCAGATTATTAGAGACAGGAAATGCATACTTCATTAGATTTTCAAAGATGGATCTTCTCGTTCGCCCCTCCGGTTTATGAGCAAAGCGTAAATTTCGAATATCCTAAAAAAGATTTTATCATTGTTTGCTGACTTTTTAATGAAAAAATTAGGTAACTTGGAACTATCTTATAAAACGTTAAGATCTGGCCTGGCCAGGTAGTTCAACTGGTTAGAGCATTGTTCTGATACGCCAAGGGTGGGGGTTTGATCTCTGGTCGGGGCACATACAAGAAGCAACCAATGAATGCATAGATGGGTGGAACAACAAATTGATGCTTCCCTTTCTCTTTCTCTCTCTAAAATCAATTTTTAAAAAGTTTTTTTAAAAACTGAGAAATCAATTTCTAAGATAATTATTATTATTAATAAAATGTTAAGATCTATGTATAACAGATCAAACATCTGAAGGCAGGGAAATTACCATACCTTACTGAGAGAAATAAAAAGAAACACAAGGCACTCTATTACAAGGCAGAATTCAGAAGACAGAAAATTTACCACTGCTTATGGACTCAACATTGGTCAGCAAAAGTAGGCACTGGAGATTAGAAATACTGTATCTGAAGCTTAACGTTCTTCTCTTTGTAAGTCTCCTACTACTAGACTGCTAGAACCAAACTCTGCCTAAAGGTCTTCCTCCACCCCATGTCCAAGTTCTTCCACCATCTACCAGCAGAGCAACTCTGAACAGTCTGGTTGGGATCATCGAGACTCCATAGTCAGATCTAAAGACCAAGGTTCCCTTGTTATTTGTCCCCAAGCAATTTTCTTTTTCATTGACTGATTGACTGATTTTTGAGAGAGAGAAACACAGATTTGTTGTTCCACTTATTTATGCATTCATTGGTTGCTTCTTGAACATACCCTGACTGGAGATCAAACCTGCAACCTTGGCATACTGGGATGACGCTCTAACCAACTGAGCTACCCGGCCAAGCAATTTTCTATGTTCAGTCAGAATGTAGATATTCATGATCTGGTTTACTGACATCTTAACAGTACTAGGAAAAATTTGGGATTATGAATAATTTCAGGACTTCATTTTTTTTTTAAGTGTTTTAATCTAAGTAGAACTCAAAATCGCTTTAATATATCCCATTCTATAAAACTAAACATAGAGACATCATACTACAATGTAATTACGGTACATGAAAAAATAGAACACTTTATTACAAATCTGACACCAAACTAGAATGCTAGCTCCACCATCCTTTAAAATAAACATGTGCAGGAAACTAAGTTGATGCTTCCCTCAGTAAATATCTTTATAACAGTAGATATATTCATAAGCACCCTGTTAACCACAGAGCACTCTCTAACTACCACAGCAGTCCTACAAATGTCTGGGCTTGTTAATGGTCTTGTTTCATGAAAAAAAAATTTACTTAAAATGAAAATGATCAAGATTTCATTTTCTCTTATAGTCTCTTATAGTCTATGCTCCATTTACTATTTACTATTACACTACAGAAAAGTGATCAGGAAACAATGTGCTTGACAAATAGTTGGAACTTTTTACACTCTTAGAGCCATTATGACTACAATGGAAAAGCAAAAAATAATTACTAAGTCATCAGCTTTAATAAAAGATTCATAAAACTTCTAAGATTAGCATGCGGTATCTTGAAAGTTACGCATGTACTGTTGCTTTTACTTTTGGCACTGGCAGATCAAAAGAAAGGAAAACGGTAATAGAGAACTGAGATGTGCACAGGTGTTGATTAAACCACAGTCAGCAGAACAGTGACTGCAGAAGTGGCATCTGGTATTAAATTTCTATGACTGAATGTTAAAATTGTAACAATCTAAGTTTCGTTCAAGTATCAATGCACTTAAAGAATGCAAGTTAGATAAGAAAACAGGGAAGGTCTATAATACCAAATTTTCCCCACCATTATTTCAGAAGCAGAAAAGTGATGAGAGCTAGAAAGAGGAAAGATAGGTGATGACGAGTTTATCATAACCAGTTCTCCACTACGAAGTGCCATGCCTCAACTGCTCAGATCCTGAGGTTTCTAACATGTAAATTAAAGGTAACAATGTCTATCATGCCTATTTCAGGATTTTTATGAGGCTCAACATGAAATAATGAATTTGAAAGTACATTTTTTTGGGTCCAAAAGAATTCAAGTCTAATTCACGGTAGATCAGCTTTTTATTACCCCTAAATGTTGTTTTCTTCTACTAGAATGACATTTCCAGTGCAAATCCAATCGATATTTGGAAACCGTTTCTAAACATAGGTTCTAATTAATGGAAAACTTTTCAAACCAAATAAAACTGCATACACATTATGAAATTTACCTTGCACACAGTTTCTAGTCCGTAAGAATTTTCACCTCGACTAGAAGCACCACCAATTTTTTCTACTCTACTTATCACACCAAGAGAAGCATCTAAAACAAACGGAGGATCCTAAAGGAAGGAAAGAAAAATACAAAACTGAGCAATGGATACAATTATAGCTGAGAAAAATCTTAATTAGTAATGCTTTAATTAAAAATGATCAAAAATAACAAAAACTGTCTGCAAACAACACAAATCCAGTCCAACAAGTCTTACCCGTTCCATGCTTTTGAAATATAACCTGTAATTTGTGACAGTCAGAGTTCCTCGTACAGCACCAGTGAATGGACATATATAAGTAACATCTTTGGCTGAAAAGGCAAAGAATCCACAATTTACCACACATTATGCACTATTAAAAACTGTACTTTCTTCTTTGCACAAATACAATTTAACAGAATCTGATTGCTATTCTAACTTATGCTCAAAAATCATGGAATCAGTGATTCAAAGTAAACTTAGAAGCCAAATCCAAGCTTCCAACCATGCAGTGATCTGGGGAAGAAATCTAGAACAAATGGGAAGGCCTGAAGAGGCAGAGGGACGTTCCTTACCCTGAGACAGAACAGGAGACAAAGATGACCACCATCCCTGTTGGGTAAAACACGTGTGGTAGTTGGAATAGCAGGTAGAGGATGGTGGTAATGGTGGTTAACAATAGTAAATGTCTCATGTCAGAGTCACCAGTTATCTTATTATAGTTTCAACATCACCTCACCAATCTGCTGGTCTTCTGGCCATAGTCTAGTCTGTCAACATACCTCTAAAAATACAATATCTGAAGCATAAAATACCAAAAATTTCTGACCTGATTATATTTATAGGAAAACACTGTAGAGGAGAAGTGCATATGAAATACAATTTCTTACAAAGTAACAGTGTAATAAGAGGATATTATATTTCTGACCAAGCAACTAATATCCAGCTTTGTGGAGAAATAATCACAAGCATTGCTTTATTAAATGATATGTGATAAATCTATAGAGTATTAAGCTTTTTAAAATACGCATTAACTCAGCTTCCACTACTTCAAAATAATATTTAATATGGTAAAGTTCATAATGCCCAATATAAAAATTTTTATATCTTAAAATATTCATAAATCCCTGCAATGTCATTATTGTAGTTAATCAGCACATATAGAAATATCTTCATTGTTCCAAGGAAGTAAGGCACAATTAGGAGCAACAAATTCCTAAGAACCTTTCAAAGGGCTTCTGGGAAAACTTAGGGACATGAAATGCACTTAATAAGGTATTGCAACTTCCTGACTTTGCTTTTTAGTTATCACTTTGAAGAAATGACTGCTTTGTATGGAATTTGAAATGAGACTGATCTTCTAACAAACATTTCTAACCTTCAAAATAGTTCTCTTGGGAAGGTTCAAGCATAAGCAACATTTTTAAAATCATTGTTTCCAATGCATGTTTCATTTAGAAGGAAGCTTTTAAAATTAAACCCATCGTTATAGAAAGATACACAAACTTGCCTTGCATACATTTTCTTGCTCTTATGAATTTTTACCTCAACTAGGAAAGCTTTATTCATGTTAGTAAAATCATTTCTGGATTCCTTGCAGAGTCAGTTTTATTACTCACACAAGAAAATTCAACCTTATTATTCTACATTCCACTACAGGATATGTCCCCCTTTGTCCAATGTTTTTGTTACACTTTCCCCTTTATTCTAAAATCATGAGATAATACACATGGAAGTGCTTCCCAAATTAAAAATGTTATACAAGGGTTTACCTATGGACACAGACATTGGTATGGGGAAGGCCTGGGAGCGGGGTGGACGTGGGGTGGAGGGGATCAATAGGGGGAAAAAGGGGACATCTGTAATACTTTCAACAATAAAGACAGATTTTTTTTTTTTTTAAAACAGCACTATACAAGCATTTATAGCTCTATTACAATTATCATCAGTAGGCTCTGCTTTGTTCTCTCCGCTTTACCCTTCCTCCTCAGGCTGGGGGCAGCTAAGTCACTCTAAAGAATGAGTTTACATTAGCAGGGCTTGTACCAAGCAGAAGGGAGACTATGACTAGGAACCTTACCAGACCAAATGACAGTAATAACCACCAGCATTGATAGCCTAGCACTTCAGAGTTTATAAAGTACTTTTCACCTGAGTACCCCCTTTAATCCTCATAACAACCTTTATATATCAGACCTAGAATTCCCCACAATTTTTAGATGAGACTATCATGGCTCAGAGAAGTAAAACAATTTGCCTAATGTTTCAGAACCAGTAACTGCTAAGATTAAAACTTGGATACAGTTCCTCTGATGACAAATTCAAATCTCTCTCCATCACACTGTGCAAAGAGGCCATTAGAGTAGCACAGTCTGCCTCCTGTGCAAAGGTTGCAATACTGCAGTATGGGGCTATCTCTACAGCTGATGTGCCCAGGCCACAGTATCTGAGCCTGTTACTTCCCTAAAGCATTCTGCTAATGTTCCTAACACTACTCTAACTTTTTAAAAACATCTAAGCTGCAGACTGACATTAGACCAACTAAAAATCAAACACCTTTTCTACATAAATTAATATATTCAACATTATTCTAGCCTTGTACTTTAATGTATCAAATTTAAACTTTGCACAATAATCAAGTCTATATAGAGGATTCTGAATCAGAATATTTTTAGTATATTAGATACTCCTCTAAATTTGCAATACTAATACTTTCCAGTCATAACAACTTAGAATACATATCTATAAAAATATAAAATAGATACAAATAAATGTAATACATGAGAACATGCAATCTATGCACAAAGAGAGACACAAAAGCGTACTCTAGTACAGGGAAGAGGAAGTCCATTTAGCTAGGCGATCAGAGCAGGTTCAAAGAACATAAGCATGTATGTGTTGTGCTCTAATGGCTGGTATCCTTTAGATGAGCAGGGATGGTAAGACAGCACTCAGTGCAGAGAAAGAACCTAATCCAACATGCAGAAGCGGGAAAAGAAAGTACCGATTTGGACAAAGTATTGTCTGATTCTCTGTAATTTATATTGTATCACAGTCTCTTCACACCTCAATTTCCATCCCTGGTTCCTTTTCTACCATATAATTACAAAATGTTTACAAAAACTATGTTCTTGGCTCTCTTCTCACTCCATACGCTCTCTGGGTTATTTTCCTTCTCTCGTTTTTCAACTAATATCCATGTTCTGATGGTTTCAAAATACACACTTCTAACCCTAATCTCTCTCCTAAACTCCCACGATCTCTCTCCTAGATATCTCCATTTGAAGATTCTCATAGGTACCTGAAATTAAATACACATAAATATGACACCAAGGACTCAAGAAAACTGAGAGGAAGACACAAACTCAAGAAATTCTTAGAGATTGATTCCTCTGGATCTGGTAACTGACTGGATGTCAGAGTTCAGAAAAAAACAGCCTAGCATGACTCCCAGATTCTGCCTTGAGTGAATGGACAACTGTTTTTAATGTTAACTGAGGGAGAGAATAAAAGAAAAGGAGTAAACTTAGGGATAATGTATGAGATGTTGGGCATTAAGGACCTGAAGATAGCCAATGGCATGTGTCTAAGATGCAGACACTGCAGTAGGGATACCTGTAAGACAGCCAGGGGCATGTGTCTAAGGTGTGGACACTGCAGGAGGGATACCTGTAAGATAGCCAGGGGCATGTGTCTAAGATGCAGACACTGCAGGAGGGATACCTGTAAGACAGCCAGTGGCATGTGTCTAAGATGCGGACACTGCAGTAGGGATACCTGTAAGATAGCCAATGGCATGTGTCTAAGATGTGGACACTATAACAATTTTGGAGTGATCAGTAAGTATATGGTAAATAATGCTACTAATTTAGATATGGTCAACCAAAACGAGCATATAGGAGGAAAAAAGGGAAATGGGTCACGCATGAAGTCCCAAAGGGAGCCATGCTATTTAAGGAAGAAGAGCCAACAAAAGAGACTGAGTGGTAAATTGAGTATCTTTTATAAAGGTCACTTATCATAGTGGAAACAACGTTCAGAAGAGGAAAAATTGTCACAATGCTAGCTATAATTTCACCACCTAGGTCATCACCCTATGCTTTCATTTCCTCATCTACCAAATGTGAGGATGATTAAATGAGACAGTAAGCACTTAGTAATGATCACTATCGTTATGATATATCCAAGGCCAGTAATATATAATACCTAACTCAGTAAGCAGTTCAGCAGAATGAGAGCTCAGGGTAAACATGAGGCTGAGCAGCATAGCAGGGGAAAAAGAGACTGGGGAGGTACTCGACCAGGAGTTGTGAGCCAGAAGAGACAAATACCACACTAAGCGTGAAAGAACTCAATGTAATGGAAGCAAGATCAACCCACTTGGGGGCAGTTCCCTCTTTGGCCTGCTTAGTTTTACACACAGGAATAATATCTGGCCAAGGGAAGGTGAGTATTTACAAAGTCCTTTTAAAATTCTGATTGATAATAAAATGAAAAGTGGTTTTACTTTGGCTAAAAAACCACCTACTTTATTCTCCTACCATACTGCCTTCTCAAAAGCTGTGGGCACTTTAAAGTAAAAGCATGAAGACAAAAAAAAAAAAACAACCCAAAAAATAGCTTAAATGCTGTTTCTCCTTTCCAGTCCATACACTAAGTTGATGCTTAGTTCTACGGGCTGGACAAAAGGCACCCATATGCAAATAGTCTGCTTTGCAATGGAGATGAAATATTTTCATCCAAAAACTGACGGACTTTATTCAGAGTAGAAAAAAATAATGGAAGAAGAAAGTGTTTTACAAAAAATTACTTGTACAAAGTGACAATTCAATGTTTTTTACCTAGACAAGCCAATACCTTACCGTGGTAATTCAAAATAATGAAATTTTCTTTTTCTTTCACAGAATTCAGCAGCAGTTACAAAAAAAAAAGCCACCTACTTTCAATGAAAGTAAAGCAAACCAGAGAAGCAGCAGAATATTTGATGTGTATGTTTCCCAGCAGTCCAACACAAACAAAACCAGCAGGTCTAGACCCAGGCTTGTAGAGCACACGTGTCGGGAAGGCGGGCAGTAGAGTGCTGCCAGAGAGGAGCTGCCTCCCACAGGAGCCTGTTCTCTGAATACTGAGACACTGAGGAGTCTGCAGAGTCAGAACAGAGAAGGAAATTCAACAAAAAGACACCATTACAGACCCATGTCTTTAATGTTTTCTCCTGGAAGCAAGGGTGGTTCTTCCATTTCTGCTAATTTGTTAGACTCCCGCAGGACCTGGATTGGAAAACGGAGGAGAGGGCAAGAAAAGAAACATTTTTTACTCAAAGGTTAATTTTCCGCTCAAATTTCAACTAGGTATGCTTGCTCTTATGTAAAGTTACAACACTATGTTACACATACTACTTTAAATCAAATTATAAAAACTGCAGGGCTGGCATGTATAACATGTGAAGCTGCGAGTTTTCTATGGAGCATTTATCAAGTGCCTACTTCATACAAGGCACTATACACAAAGCATGATACACATTTTCTCACTGAATCCTATATAGCCCTAAAAGGTAGGTGTTATTATCCTCAACCCTGGATGAGAAAAAAAGATAAGAAGTGACAATTAGTTCAAGATCACATAGCTAAAAAGTACCAGAATCTAGATTTGAATTATAGTTTTCAGTGAGCTGCAAGTCCATTTTCTTTCCATTAAGCGATGCCTAAATCCATTAAGGCCTTAGTGCATTTAAACTCAGATAAAATCAATCTCTTATGTAGGTTTAATATTTAGAGAATTTGGAAACTATGCTGATAAAGAATATTGTTGAAAAAAGATACTAAATTAATTAAAATCATGATCTACTGTTACTGATTAGTTACCTTATGAAAGACACTACACTGATTCCAAGAATGTAAAGATATAGAAACAGTTCTCTAGATTTACAACTCAGAAAACACACACACACACACACACACACACACACAAAATCGTCATACGTTAAACATATCCACTAGCTACCACAAGCCTCCCACTCCACCCTTTTCACTCCCAAACAATAAACTTCATTGTCAACAATTCTTCACCTCCCATTAATTCCTCAGTCTTCTGCAATCTGGCTTTGCCACCTAACCCAACCCCTTCCCGGAGGGAACCCCCTTTCTCCCCAATACCTCATTATTAAGGACAATGGACATTTCCATCTTTACTTTTATCTCTTAGCTACTTTTGACACTATCTGCACACTAGCCTGGCTAAACATCTCTTCCTCTGGCCTTTGTTTTTCAATGACCTCTCTATTCCGTTTCCTTAACCTTCCCTGCTCCTCAGAGTTTTGTCCATTTTTCACTTGACTCACTTCCTGATGATCTCATACTCTATCTGTGACGTTACCTAACGTCAATCTACTTTGACGGCAGAGATTTTTCTTGGACTCTAGTTCCATTCATCCAACTGACTAATGTTCCTCCCCATCTAGATGTCCCACAGATGCCTTGAACTCAACAGATCTCAAACTGACCTGTGTTCCATACTTAGCAAGTAGCCCTACCGTCCATTTAGTTGTCTAAGCCAGTTCTGGAGGAGGGCTGAGCAGTGGTCTCTGTGAGCAGGCACAAGCCTTCTACTTCAACCTTGACTTGTTTCATTAGACTGAGAACCAATACCACTAAAATAAATTCTCAAACATTTTTTAAAAAGTGTTTTACTTTTATTTCCTTCAATCCAAAAGGTAGACTTAAGAGTCCTCAACAGAAGGTTAAAAGGAAGAAAACACAAGGTACTAAACTGCCTTAAAGGACACCTTCTTCAGGCCCTCAAAACTGGGTTAGATGTCTCCTATGCATGAGCTCCAGTTTGGCTGTTACCACCCACCCTGAGTGCCTGTCTGTCTTCTTCCCCACAAGACTCCTAGAGAACAGGTGTCCGATTTTATACACTTTCGAATACTCAATAGAAATGTAACATGAGTCACATATATAATTTTTAATTGTCTAGAAGCCACATCACAAAAAGTAAAAACAAGCAAAATTGATTTTAATATATTTCATTTAGCGCAATAAATCAAAACTATTGTTATCTCAGTATGCAATAAATATTTTAAAACCATTAATGTAACATTTTATATTTTTATTTACGCTAAGTCTTCAAAATTCAGAGTGTAATTTATACTTACAGCACATCTCAATCCAGACCAGCCACATTTCAAGTATTCAACAGCCATATGTGTAGTGGTGCCCGGATTGGGCAGAGCTAATCTAATGAATCTAATTCTTCCTGATAATCAAGTTATTCTTTAGTTTAAGTCAGGTGCTTAGAGAGGATTACACAAAAGGGTTAGATATCACTGCCACAGCTCAATGCTCACCTAAGGCCAATAAACTAAGAACAAATTAATTCTGTTCAATAAATGTGCAATCTAAAGAAATTCATACTTCTAGAGTTTAATATTTTGTTTCATAAAGTAATCTTACTGCAATACCTAAAGAACTATAACACATGTATTTTTTATATTCCACATTCTAAGCCTCAAAAAATGGTGATATTTTTGAACGACAGTTGCCAGTTTCTGATATATTATTATGTAGTCATAAAAGAAAGGAAAGAAGAAATTTCAGAGACAGAAGCGGAGAAGGAAGGAGGGAGGCAGCAAAAGAAGAAGAGTAGGCCTGTGAGGATGGAGAAAACCAGGGTAAGAATGTGACATGCAAATATGCAGATTACCTGAGTTCACATCCTGACTGCTACATGCTAGGTCCTCTTAGACCAGGTGTCCAACTTCTTTATACCTCATTTCCCCATCTATAAAGTAATAATTATAGTGTCCCACAAAAGGGTTTTATAAAAATTAAATGAGTTAATATATTTAAAGCATTTATATCAGCACTGACATAATATATACCTAATAAGTATTTCCTACTACTACAAATAATAAAAATTCAGACTAATAACTGATTACCACCAGACTCTGGTAAGAATTTCTACTAATTATGACAACAACAGAATTGGATAAAAAGATAATAACTAACACAGTATACTAAAAAAAAAAAAATCAAACAATGCTACACATGTGAAAAATCATATAAAGGAAAGATGCTTTATCTTTTGCCCATCATCTACCACGTGATTTGGAAATACAGGTTGTTCCCCATGACCTCCTCCCTTTCTATATTTCTACATTCAGAAGAAAACTGCAAACCCAAGAATATATGTGTACTGTATACTGGAGTGGAGAGGAAGGTAGTTCTGGAAGAGGAATGTGGTAACATAAGAGTGTAATCTTCATAAGTAAAACTTTATAAAGTGAGAAAAGAGACAGGAGAACTCATGCAAGGAGTGCATATAGAGAACCATAGGCTCTCCCATACACTCTCTGACCAGAGTGTCAGAGAGTAAGGGCATTGAAGAGAACTCCAGAAAAGCTGCACTAATTGACAGACTTTTAATAATAGGTGTACAATAGTGGTTATGTATAAACAACTCACTTTAGAGCTAAAGACATAAAAAGAGCTAAAACAAGTGAAGAGAGCAGAATCAAGGGCAATCCAGACCCTATGTATGTTGGCAAACACTGACTCTGAACACATCTACCTTTCAACAAACATAAAAGAAAAAAATAAGGCCTAGAAAATGATTGTTTGACAAGGAAGAGGAAGTATCAGCCTGAATCTCACCAAAAGAGCAGTCTTCTGAAAACAATTCCCTATTGGCATTAGGAAAAGCATTTATAAACTAGCTGACATACCCAAAAGGAAATCAGCCATATTCCCTAAGTAACAGGAACAAAAGCCATAGGAAAGAAGTACTGAGGTTAAGAGAAATGGGTAAGATAAAGAACGACTGCAAAAATTGAAAATGTAATAGAAATAAAACCTGTGCTGGAATTAATTAAGAACTAAATTGACTATTTAGAAAACAGCATTTATGTTGAGGGCAACCATAAAAATTGCTCTAAGAATTTGTGGAAAAAGAACAGAAGTAAAAACCATGAGGAAAGATGATAAAGAACCAATGAAAGAATCTATGTCCTAAAAGAGAAAGTCAAACAGAATGGGAACGATCATCTAACACATAATGGAAGAACATGCTTTTGAAATAAATAACGATTTTCTAAGTTTGTTGATCAAAACAGTTTAGCATGTTCCACATTAAAAAAATAATTAACGGAGATATATATCTAGGTGCATCTTAGCAAATTTTCTTGAACTGTAAGAATTAATAGACAAACTATGAGAAAAAAGGCAAAGAGAGAAAGAGAAAAAAGTAACGTACAAAAGCAAGATCAGGCTGCCCTCCAATTTATCAGTAAAACTATATTCTCAGAGACAACAAAATGTTATCAGATCTATGAAGGAAAATGCTATGACCTCTCTAACATGTTTGATGGTAACAGGAAATCATTCTCAGATATGCCAGGTCACCAAAAATATGCTCCACATATTCTGCTTTTGAAAAAAAATAATTACTGAGGGAAATCGAGATTAAGACTACTATATAAGATCTGTGGTGTACAGTAAAGACGTAAGCTGTTATATCTTAATGACCCTACAGCCAAAAATAATAATAATTTACTGCCACCACACTAACCTGAGTCTTAGTTTTATCATTTATGTCAAGATAGTAATATCCACCTTACAGGTTTGTATGAAATGAGATAGTTGCAATATAAAGCGATTTGCAAGGTGCTATTAAAATGTAAGAAATAGGCCTGGCCGGGTGTGGCTCAGTGGTTGAGCGTTGACCTAGGATCCAGGCGATCGGGGTTCAATTCCCGGTCAGGGCACATGCCAAGTTGTGGGCTTGATCAATGACTCATCACTGATGTTTCTATCTCTCTCTTTCCCCTCCTTTCCTCTCTCTGAAATCAATAAAGATATATTAAAAAAAAAATGTAAGAAATACTTATTAATCACTTAACAGAAGCATCAACAGAAGTTTTCACTTTCTCTTCTCACAATGGTCTACTCACATGGTGCTTTGTTTCTCTGCTTTAAAATAAACAGGGATTAATGACACCTTACAAATGTTTGAATTGCATTAATCCAATAGCAATAAACATAATATCTCCATAATGCCCTAAATAAAATATCAGATATACTATACAAAATAACCATATATAGGGTTAATATTTGAGACAGCATGTCATAAAGAGAACAATAATCTCACTAATTCTAAACCACTGACTTCTAGATCTACAGAATAGAGAGCATCTTATTCTAAAGAAAGCAATAAAAGGAGTGATGTCATCATCGTGGCAGCATAAGATGTCCCTCATTTTGTTGCCCTTTAA